CACAGCCAACAGAGTCTCCTTCAGAGTTATTTATATTTTTCTTATCTAATTTATATTCCGGACAGATGCTGTATTTTATTTTACTTTCTAGTTAATACTTATGCACTTGTGACACCGGGTTTTGGGGGCACTTATGACTTGTTCAGTAGTGTAGTTGGGAAAATATTATCATGTACTCTGTAAATTTTATTCCTTATTATTTAGTTGAAGAAAATTTTTGATTTCAAAAATACTAAAATGGGTAACTAAATAAATTAGTCAAGGTTGGCTGGCCTGACAATGATGTTAGGCGCCATCACGACATTTAATAGATTTTGGGTCGTGACAATTAACTTTTTTTTTCTAAAGTTTCCCTTGGATCGGAGTACAGAACCTTGGAGTATTTGTTATAATTCCAATGAATAAATTAAGATTAATATGATCATTTTTATTGTTAATTAATGTTAAAAGGTAAATTCCTTAATATGTGTAAAAACAACCAAAAAATCAATTCAAGTGGATCGGTGGGAGTAACTTACAATAGCAAATCTTTTTTATTTTTGGTTTTCACCGTTGTGCGGTACCCGTATTGGGGTCCGACAAAATCAAGATTCATGCCAGGAGGTCCCATACTCAGGGTAAAGCATTTTCTTACAAAGGCGATGTCATACCCAGGACGCGAACCTGAGATCTCTAATTAATTATGAATAAGTATTTACCACTCTACCACAACCCTTATTAGTTAGGATTTTTTACATTCCTATACACTATTTCAAACTTTATTACCCTCCTTACTCAAGTTTTAATCTAATTACATAATATATATAAAATTATCAATTATGTACATTTTTAGGCATTTAATGATAATAATTAAATCCTAAAATCACTCTAACGTCTATATCCCACTCCACCACGTTTATCTCTCCACCCCCCCCTCCCCCACGTATCTTCAGTATCTCCCTCCATTATGTTTTTACTCTTCTTCAAAAATCCTTCTACATTTTTTTCACTCTTCTTTAAATATCCCTCTTCATTTTTATAGATTCAAGCTCTAAATACTCTATCACTCACCTTCATTAACGCCTGTTGCTTGCTTAACTTTTAATGAAGAAGAAAATACTTTCAAAGATCGGCCCTAATTCCAGTAAGAGAGCAACAATTCCACCATTGACAATCATTAAAAAGCTTTGAAGCTTTGAATTCGAATTTTGGTTTTCAAAAACCATTATTTGTTTGGATTGGGTGTTGTTGCAAATAATTGAGAATATTGTTTGGAGTTTATATCTCAATTTTGAGGGTGTTTTTGTGAAGATTAGACTTGATTTTGACAGAATTTTAGATTGAAACTCGAAGAAGAAGAAGAAGACATAACATACATTATACTTACGAAATTGTAGTAAAGTTGTAGAAAAATTGTATTCTGTTGTTTATATACATTTTTTTATTTAAATATTGTATGAAAGTTGAATAATATTGTATAAAAATTGTATTTCAGTTATATGATATTGTAATTGTATATAACTGGGGTAGAAATAATGTATGAAAGTTGTAGATAAGTTGTATAATATATAATTAGTTGTATGAAATTTATTTTTACTATGTATAAATCAGATATTTACCTCTCTACTCCCTCGGGGTAGGGATAAGGTCTGCGTGCACACTATCCTCTCCAGACCCCACTAGTGGGATTTCACTGGGTTGTTGTTGTTGTTGTATGTATAAATCAGATACAAAATATACAAAAGACATATTGTATAAAGTTTGTATAAAATTTGTAATTAAGTGGTATAATATTGTAGTTGTAGATAAGTTGTATAATATATAATTATTATATATGAAATTTATTTTTACTATGTATAAACTAGATACAAAATATACAAAAAAATATATTTGTATAAAATTTATATAAAAAATATATTTAAATTTGTTGGGTGATTGGTACTTGACCATGAAATGACCATCTTATTTCCTTTCTCCTCTTCATGTTCAAAGAGTTGACTCGATCATTAGCCGTTCAAAAAGTTGAAATTATGATTTTACTCTCTCATTCTCCCATATGATTTCCTAAAGTAAAAGAGATGGTTGAATGTTTCTTGTCTTGAGCTACAGGATAGCAACAATGTATATTGACCCTCCAAACTTGTACCTGCTCCTATGGAAGAAGATAAAATGTCGAGGCAGGAGAGAAATAAATCGAGGAAGGAGACAATGGACTTGCGAAAAGCTAGACAAAACCCGTTTATGATAGATTTGGTGAATAATCTTGAAGGAAGACCCGAAGAGGTAATTCACGACCTGACTATTAATACTGAGATATTTTCAATGACCCCTCCTGTATTTTACTATTGCTTTCGGTGAACTTTACGCATGTTTAAATTTCTTAGTCGTGCTCACTGATCTTGTTTGTTGTAAGAGGGGAGAGAGGAGAGAAAAAAAGAAAAATGGTGTAACTAAATCCCTTGATTAAAGACACAAATAATGGATTGAGAGTCTTTTAAGGTGGATCGTATACATTTTGTAACTAAAATGTGTTTAGGTCGGATAAATACCAAACAATGAACATTTATCGTAATAAGATTTCAAATAGTATATTGGAATGAAAAAATTTCAATTAGTTTAGAGCAAACTTCATTACATATGCAATTACATAGTATTGGATTGCCAAAATAACCATACAAGTATGCTGTAAACAGAATTTAAAGGGATAATTTTAATTTTGACCAAAGAAATTTCACATATCTTATGCATCTAGTACTCTTTCTCATAAGTGACAACATTATGGTGACAATATTGTTGCTTGTCATTTGAAGTATTTCTGACTGTTTGCTATATTTTCTTGTACGTACAACAAAGGTGTACGAAAATAACATTGACTTTTTTTTCTTTGTTGCAATTACAGATAGCTGTGGACTTGGTTTCCATTAATATTTTTTCGAACCAATTACTTGCTGAGCAAAATCATTAGGAAGTCATTTACTTTGACCGACGACTTTGTCTTCCACGTTAATTTTTCCTTCTTTTGACTAATCAACAGTTTGACATATAAGTGATCAGAGGAAATTCAAATAGTTATGTCAATGCACGACCTGGCGAGATAAAAATTCCCGTGATGTTCTTATTATTTTTTTTTTCTTTTTTTTTTTCAATTAATGATTATGCTGGACTGTATTTTTGTTCTTTCAAATAAAACTACCGAAAGGTAACTGAATTTTATTAGCTTACAGAAATTTTGACTAGTGATCATTTTAGGGTTTAGTTTATCATTGTAGTAGTACTAGTAATTGTTTTTTAAGGTGCACTAAATTGGAGAAGTGCATAAGTTTTGTTACATATCAGATAATAGAATACATACATGGAATAGTCCTCCGAAATTAAACTCAGTAAACTGGTTTAAGGCTTGTGATTTCAATAAGGTACTCCAATAATTACAACTTGCTGCTTCAAGTTATTCAAACATGTGAATACATTATGTTTCTTGACTTTTAAGTTTACTTAAGAGACAAGCCGATGACTTTTTCAAAAGTAAAAATTCGACAAGACAAAAAACAATGACAAATTTTTTGGTGCTATAATTCGTATGCGTGAGCTCACTATTTTATTGACTTGAGTACATGCTTCTAGCAGTGCGATGAAATTAATATTAAATGATTTTCTTTATTTTGATGGGTACCATAGTGAAGTAATTTGATGAGAATTGATGATGATCGATGATGATCTTAGTATAAAGAAAAAGAAACGGTACTCCAATTTAAATGACGTTTGATTTGATGTTATTACAATAATAACTTTTCTTAGGGTGGCTGGATGTAGACTTCCAACCAACCACCTTAGTTCCATGCTTGGACTTGGTATATTTTGACACATAAAGCTTCATCTCTTGTTGGATTCCCAATTTTAAAATTCAAAAGTGTGCTATGTATTGAGACTTTTATTTACATTTGGTCTCTTCAAAACCTTCTTTTTTTTTTTTTTTGGAATTTTTCTTGGAGGGGGTAGGGAAGCAGATAAACGTTTATAAGAGAAAAACACTACATATATAACTTCAAGAGGGTAGAAAAAAAAAAGTTTAAATCTTTTGGGATACATATCATTTTCGTTTTCTTTTTGATTCGTTTTGAGGTTGGGCCACATTCGCATGTCGAATATCTTCCAAATAGAGTACTTCCTTCATTTATAGGAGAACAAAAAATAAAGAATAGGCGTTTGGACATAATTTTGTTGAAGTTTGAAAAAAAAAAAGAGTATTTTAAAAAGGGTATTTAGAAGTTAAAATTGTGCTTGAATGTCGATTTTACTAGAAAAAAAGGTTGAAATTTTGTGAGCGAAGATCATTATTTCATACTACTCAATTTTTCAAACTTCAAATTATCTATTTTAAGTTTGAAGTTGAAATATTAATGGACTAAGTGTACAACAAATACTTATTTCTCATAATCTTCAAATATTATTTCATATATTTGAAATTAGAGTGTTACCTTCTTGTTCAATTTATATTTTTATCCTTATCCACATCATAGAAATCAAAATTTCGCCTTTCATATTTCACAGAAATGACTCTAATTAGGATATCCTATTTGTACACTCCTCTCAATTTCTTTCTTTCTTTCTTTCTTTCTTCTCGTTCTCCTTTACTTTTTTGGTATTATATCTGATATCTCTATTTTGCTTAAGGATATACACAACCGTAGATATCAGGACAAAATTTGAGGTCAATTAAGTGCATGTATTTTCTACTATGGATTCTCTACGTCATTAATTGTTGACTGAAGCTTAAAGGATGAAGTAAACCAAAGCTCTCCAGCCAAATTATACGCCCAAGTCATATTCATTCAAACTTGAAAAGGCCAGGGGGGCGGGGTTAATTAGAAGAACTAAAAGAGATAGAATTTACAAAGGGAAAAAATAAAGGAGGAAAAAAAAGGTCTTGAAACGCTCTTGCGAAGTCTAAATTTCTCATATCTGGATGTGCTAAAAACAAATCAAATTTTCCCTTTCATTCATATAATATAATATAATAGTCACTACCATATTCCATAATCGTCCACACTCAACTTACTATTTCCAGAATTACTATAAGCAGCAGAAGGAGAAGTACCACTCTCTTGATCTTGCTGTAATTTGTCCTTTGATCTCTCAGTCTGATCTTCATAATTAGAATAGTATCCATAATTCCTAGAGCCCTCCCCTACTAAATTACTTCCAAAAAATTCAGTCTGAACGTCATCAGTTGATGGTCCGAAACTTAGGTTAATTGGACCCTTTTGATTCTTGAATATTGGAGAAGTATGATCACATCCAGTGTATTGTTGCACCGCTGCTCGAAAATTCGTGATGCTTGTGTTGACAAGAGTTGTAGGGGTTTTCTTGGAAGCTCGACTCCGCCTTCGAATCGGTTTCCCTTTGCTGGTTTTAGGACTCAACTCGTGAATATCATCATTTCCAGCAATTTGTGAAGAATTTTCAGGACTTAAAGTACTGGAATATTGATGTTGATCAATAGTGTTTTGAGTAGTGCTTGTGGTTATGATAGTGGAATCAGAGAAACACTGATCATAAGGATTTGCTATACCAAAATCAGTTTGTTGGTAATATGGCATTCCAATATCCATCCATTGATTAGTAGGTGAAGTTGGGATAGTGTTATCCATGTGGTTAGGTTAAGTGTTTGAGTTGCATGCATTATAATAGGAAGCCAAATGTTTTGGCAATTGTTATGAGATTTATATATCGGATATCTTAGTCAAAATGATACATTTTTGGCTTTGATCTTTCCTTTGCAATTTACGTTTAGACAATGACGTTCATTTTTGACCATTCAAATTTTGACCTTCTACCCTTCCCTCCAAGTTGGAGACTCCAACCAAGAAATTTTATTGGTATAGAGTGTAGTTTCTACTTGTAATCAATTGGATCGTTGAGTAAAGATGTGGTACTACCTTTATACATGAAGTAAGTTTATATAAATGACAACTTAAATTTTTTACACTATCAATATATTTTTATTCGTTGTAGTAATTTACTAATTTTTTTATATGCTACCAATCTCACGTTTTATGAACGATTACATATATTTATCTATTAAGTATACCGTTATTGTATAGAAGTTAAATTACTCCTAGCTATATACATGTACAATCAAAAGAATTTACTTTTCTTTTTGTTGAGAAACTTTAGGTGGGAATACGATTGGAGTTAGGAAGTGCATGTAGCTTCGAGGAAACAGCGCGCATGTTACATGACAAAGAGAGAAAATAAAAAGCTTGGAAAGATCGATGAATCATATCTAGGAAAATCTAATTAGCATGTTATTTTAATGTTTCTTCTTCTTCAAACAAAATCGCCAAATTAATTAATATATTTACAAAGTACAAAGAATTAGTTGTCATATAATTGTTGCAATAACCTGCACGTGTTACTGCGCATGCATGAGGAGGTAGGTATTCCTTGTCTTTTTCAGCCGATTTTCTGATATATTTTATTATTTTAGTATTGAGAACTAACTATATAATTATGACCTCCTAAACGTGTAATTGACTCAAGTTAATAACTGCTCACTCTGTTACATATAGTTTGCCTTAGCATATAATGTATCCATATCCCTATTTAACCTAGTATATGAACATTGAAAAACGTTTAAAATTTGATGTTTAACTATAAGTAAATTACAGGGCAAAGATTAATTTTAGCTCGCGGCCGAAACTATTTACATTCGATAGCCACAAAAGTTATAGAAACTCTCTAAACTAATATTGTCGGGACCATGAAATATTATTATTTTGTAGAGGTATTATTTAATCGATTAATTTATTAATTTAAAGAGTATTTTCGAAATTCGATGAAGGTTAATTTTGATTACAACAAAATCATTATATCTTACTAATTTATGTATCATATTAATTGAATTAATATAAAAAATAAATACATTATACATAAAGTACAATGTATGATGTATGATTCATTATAATTTTTTTAATTAAATAATTCATTGCAATGTTCATTGTTTATTCATTGTAATTAATAAATCATTGTAATGTTTATTGTTTCTTAATAATCAAATATTATTCATTGTAGTTTTACTAAAAATATTCAATGTATGATGGTGAGAGAATAAACGATATAAGCAACATAGAAAATTTCTTCAAACCGTACCCAATAATGACTTCTCATCTAAAAGGTGTCACAAAATCAACAATGACAGATCAAATATGTAAAGCATTATGTGAGTACAAAAGAGATTATTCCACATGCACTCAAAAAGATTTGCAGTTGTGGCTTGACACTCAAACGATCAGCTGAGTTTCTTTCGGCTAACTTAGAAAAAATAAGGGATATCAAGCGGCACAAGTCAGCAAAATTTTCAGACATGGAGAAGGTTGTTTATGAGTGTGGTTTCTCCAATACCAAGACCGTGTGAATATAACCGAAGAGTTAATTTTGGAGAAGGCGAGAGATACAATAAAACTTTTATATCCTCAACAAGATTTTGAGCATAACTTTTCTCAAGGTTGGCTCGAGAAATTCAAGCTAAGACATGGTATCAAATCATTTTGTAGTTTCGGAGAGAGTGGATCGGTTGATATACAAGAGATGGAGACGAAATTGGAGAGTATAAGGAAAAAAATATACCAGTTCCCTATGAAAGATGTTTTTGATATGGATGAAACTAATTTATTTTATATGTTACAAGCTGATCATTCTCTTGATACGAAATAACCTGAAGGAAGAAAGAAGGACAAAGAAAGTCTCACAGTTGTTATTTGTTGCAATAAGGATAGATCTGAAAAAATTCCTTTATGGATTATTGAAAAATATGCAAAGTCATGTTGCTTCAAGAATGTCAACATGAATAGCTTGAATTTTCACTATCGTGCAAACAAAAGAGCATGGATGATTAGTGTGCTTTTTGGTGAATATATTAGTTGGTTTTACCACTACATGCATGGTAGACGAATTTTGCTTGTGGTAGATAATTATCCAGCACATCCAAAAAATATTTAAGGACTACAAAATATTGAATTGCTTTTCTTGCCACCCAACATGACATAAAAAATTCAACCATGTGATGCTGGGATAATTAGAGCTTTCAAGATGCATTATCGCAGTAGATTTCACATAGGATATTAGAAGGCTATGAGCTGGGAAAAACTGATCTAGGAAAGATGAATGTTTTGGATGCTATCAATCTTGCGATCGAGGCTTGGACGACAAATGTTCAGCAAGATACAATAGCAAATTATTTTCGACACTACAAAATTCGTTTGAGGGATGAAGCCTCAAGGAATTTAAATGAACCCACTTGTGAAAACGACATTCATGAACTTGAGGTCATTATTAATGATATCAGTTACCGTAATAAAATGAATGTCAATAGCCTGTTGGATTACCCGGTTGAAAGTGATACATGTTTAGAGGTCCAGAGCTTAGAAGAAATTATGGATACCATTGGAGAAAATAATGTTGAAGATGATACAATACCTTTGGAACCAGTTACGCGTAAGGAAGCACTTATCGCGTCTAGAACGATTCAAGGCAGAAGATATAATAATACTTGAAATGACTGAGAATTTAAACAACGAAAAGTCTCAGAAAAATAACAGCACAACAAATAAAGGTAAACAACAGGGGGCGCTCCCGAGGTATCGCCTCGTAACCCAAATGTAAATGCTCAACAGGGGGATCTCCCGAGGTACCGCCTTGTAGTCCCAAAAGTAAATATGCACGATAGATGGATCTCTCGAGGTACCGCCTCGTAGTCTCAAAGTAAATATGCAAGACATGGAGATCTCCCGAGGTATCGCCTCGTAGTCCCAAAATAAATATGCAAGACAGGGGGATATCCCGAGGTACCGCCTCGTAGTACCAAAGTAAATATGTAAGATATGGGGATCTCCCGTAGTACCGCCTCGTAGTCCCAAAATAAATATGCAAGAAAAGGGGATCTCCCGAGGTATCGTCTCGTAGTCCCAAAGTAAATATGCAACTCATAAATTATGGAACCACTAATTTGCGGCAAGGAATCCTACAGTTAAAGACCGAATACAATAATCAAGGAAACATGTAATTTAACAAGTATATTGCACGAATATCAAGAAAGGTTAAGGCACGTAGACATGCAATACTAGGCTAAACATAACAACTACACATGCTAAGGAAACTCAGTTAAGGAATTCAAAGAAATCTAGTCAGCAAGAACCGAAATTTCCATAATTATTCCGTATACGCACTCGTCACCTCGCATACACGACGCTCACATATCACAAATTTGTTACAACAGTACCAAATCCTAAGAGAATTTTCCCCACACAAGGTTAGAAAAGTCACTTACCTCAAATCTCGCTCAATCAATCGATAAGGATTCCTTTCCCTTAATTTTTCGACTTCGAAAGGCCCAAATCTAGCCAATAGAAATTACATAACATGAATACAACTACAAGATACTAATTTAAATCATAAATCTACGACTTTAGCAAAGAATCGAAAAATTACCCCAAAATGTCGACCCAGGCCCACGCCTTAGAATCGGGTAAAAGTCACAAAATACGAACACCCATTCAATATCAAGTTCACTCATATGAAAATTACTCAAATCCGATATAAAATTCTCAATCAAAATCTCAAAAATCGGCCTAGGGATTTTTCCACCCCTTTTTCAAAATTTCACAACCCAAATCCTTAATTAAAGGAAGAATAAATGATATCTTAGTAGAAATTAATCAAAAATAAGTCAAGAATCCTTACCCAAATATTTTCTCTGAAAAACCCTTGAAATTTTGCATCAATCCGAGCTCTCTAGGTTCACAAATGGAGAATGAAATAAAACCCTCAGAATTGGCCCTTTTCTGCCCAGCGAAATCGCTTCTGCGAACTCATAGCCGCATCTGCGGCTCCGCACCTGGGGAATTTCCATCGCATGTGTGGTTCTAACTTAGTCCAGGAACGTCCGCATCTGCGGGCCCAAATGCGCATCTGCGCTTCCTTTTCTGCGGCCAAGGAACGCTTCTACGCACGCACTCCTGCGATCAATAGTCCTCCCAAGCCTTTCCGCTTCTGCGCTCAACCGTTCGTAGAAGCGACTCCGTTTCTGCGGTCTTCACGTCACACCTGCGACCACTGGCCATTTTCCCTAGCCCCGCATCTGCGGTCAATCTTGCGAAAGTGGGATTACACCAGAATTGGTGCCTTTAGCCATTCTTACAAATCCAAATTTGATCTGTTAACTATCTAGAATCCACCCGAGGTCCCCGGAACCTCAACCAAATTTACCAACAAGTCCTAAAATATCATACGGACTTAGTCGAGCCTTCAGATCACATCAAACAACAATACAAAATACGAATTGCACATCGATTCAAGCCTATTGAATTTTAAAACTTCAAACTTCTACATCCGACGCCGAATCCTATCAAATCAAGTTTGATTGGCCTCAAATTTTGCACACAAGTCGTAATTGACATTACAGACCTATTTCAACTTTCGGAACCGGAATCCGACCCCGATATCAAAAAGTCCACTCCCTGTCCAACTTTCCAAAATTTAACCAATTTTCCAACTTGCGCCAATTGATGCTAAAATGACCTACGAACCTCCAATTCAACATCCGAACACGCTCCTAAGACCAAAATCGCCCTACAGAGCTATTGGAACCGTC